AGTGAGTAATTTCAAGAAATTTGATCGAAGTTCTTGTATTGTGTGAAAGTTTTCGATTCGATGGCGTTTGGTTGAAAAAATGATAATGAATAAATTTGCGATCATCGGAGAAGAGACGTTGTTTGTTTTTCAGACTTAGTGAGAGCAGTATTGAAGTGCTAAAAGAGAAGATAAGAAGAGAGGCAAGAGAGCGAGCCACTTCCAGGGAATCAGTAACAGAGAAGAAGAAACGGAAGACAGGTCGAGTTAGAGGTTTGTTTGATTTGTTTTTCAATTTTATTTTTCGCTTCAGACAGTCATAATTTTCTTGTGTTGATTCTGGAAGATATCGTTGATTTACATAATTTTTCATTTAGCAGATAAATGAAGGGAATTGAAAATTTATATTATGTGGAAAGCAGTCTTTTGGAAAGTAATTATCATTTCGGCGTTATATTTTTCCTGATGAAAATATGGATTTGCAAGATGAGACTGATTGGTTTGAAGATGGTGCTCTAATCTTGTTATATTTTCAGTTGGTTCATCATCCTCGACAGAGTCGGAACGCGAGAACGCACCATCGGTTCTGGAGCAGTTGGGCAAAAAGCAGAAGGAGAAGAAACGACATAAACCAAAGGGCTCAGATCGAACGTGCACAACTTGCGGGATTTCGTTGTGTGATTGCGTGGACGCATGGCTTGAGGTGAGTGTTTGATTCAAGTTCGGTTAAAATTTTTTTAAATTACATCAAAATTGAGTTGTTGAAAAAATTTATTGAATTGTTTTTGATTCACAAATGTAGCGAATAGAGATTAGACCAATTTTATGGTGTTCAAAGCTTTTGCATTTCTCTTCTGTATGAAGTTTTCTTTCGTATGGTTTTCAATTGATTGTTTTTTATTCTTTTAATGAATGTGGATTGATTTGTATAAAGTAATAAGTGGAAGGCGATTATAAGCAAAAAATTATTTGAGGTGCTTGGCCCGAGAAGCACATACTGCTCAATGGAATGTGTTGAGAAGCAAGTGGAGAAGGCGAAAGCGGTTCGTGGTTTCATTTTTTATTATCTCTATAGCCGTTTTAAAAATTTTCCTTGTTTGAATGAAAATTGAGGTTTAGTGAAATGGCATCTTCTACATTAAATGAGTATGATGGAACATTTCAATGTTATTAGACAAGGTCGTTATTCATATTTAAGTAATTGTATTTGTTATTTTTTGATTCAGTATTCATATTTTAGGTGATTGAAGATCAGTCAGCTAGAGTGATGCTTTTGGATCGTTCCGGAACGATGCTGAACGGTCCGTCGGCACCGAAACTTGTTGATTTGTTGCAATTCTTACGTGAACATCCCGAATTCGCACCCGTGCTGCCGTCATCTCAGCTCTCTCCGAAAAAGTCGCAGCAGCACTTCCAAACCGGTTCTTCAAAAGGCGGCGACTCGGAAAACAAGCAGCAGCAGCAGCGGAACGTGTCAGCGAACAAGTCGGAAAAATTAATCTCCAAAGAGAACGACCAACGTCGTCTTCAAGTCCGTCGTGCCATCTGCGAGAAACTTCTCGTAAGGGCGAAAAAAACCACAGATCTGGCATTCACACAACAAGAACTGAAAGCACTTTCGCAACGAATCGAAGAGGAGCTATTCAGACAGTGTCGACATTCCGTCTCGGGCAAGTATCGGTCATGGTTTAGGCAATTTCTGATTTGTGTAACGGATGAAACGAATAAAGGTGATTTTTCTTCGCTTTTTTTACTTTTCATTTTTCAAAATTTTAGTTTTTTTCGTTTTATCCGGTTTTTTTTGTTGTTAACTTTGTTCACGTGGACGTGAGTTTTTTCACGAATGCACAAAATAGATACGAGGCGCAATCAAGAGGCATACAATTAGTG